TTCTTTCTTTCTTTCTTTCTTTCTTTCTTTCTTTCTTTCTTTCTCTTTCTTTTTTTCTTTCTTTCTTTTTTAAAATTTTATAACAAATCTGCAGTGAACCTCCTCGGACATCTCTCTCTGCATACGTGTGAGAGCTTCTCCGAGACATGCACAGGTGAATTGCTATATCAAAGAATACATTTTTAATTTCACTAAATACTGTCAAACTAATCTCCAAAGTGCCTTTACCTAGCAGCTTCAGAGAGTTCTTATTTCTCCCTTGTGTTTACTTCACTGGATGTTCTCTCACTTGAAATTTCTGCAGCTTCGGTAGATGACAAGGGGAATCTTTTTGTTTGTTTTGCATTCCTCTAATTACTAAAGAGTTTAGGAATTTGGCTTTCTGTTTTCACTGTCCATAGGCCTTGACCATTGTTTTATTGGGAGTATTTATCATTGTCATGGATCCGTAGGATCTTTTATCAATATTCTGAAGACAAATTTTTTATATTATACAAATACTGCAAGTATCTATTTTCTGTCGCTTATCTTTTAATATGGCCCAATCTTTTATCATAAATAAGTTTTAAACTTATTGTCAAGTAAATGAATCATTTTTGTTACGGTTTATGCCCACTGTGCATATTTAATAATCCTTTGCTTCCTTGAGGTCAGCAAGTTATGTTTTTCTAGTCATTTTATAGTTTTTAAAAAATGTTTTATTTGTTTAGTTATTTGAGAGAGAGCATGAGTGGCAAAGGGGCAGGACGAGAGGGGGACAGAGGATCTGATGTGGGACAGCAGTGAGCCTGACGCGGGGCTCACACTCATCAACTGTGAGATCATAACCTGAGCCACAACTGAGCCACCCAGGCACCCTTGTTTTTCTAATCATTTTAAAGTTTTACTTCCCGCATCTAGGTGCTCGCTCCACTTTAAATGTATTTGGGGTGTGGTTTACATCACTTTTTATAACCAGAATGTTCAATAACAATAAAAACCAGGAGATGCAGCTCTGACAGGTGACTGTCTGCTGAGTGCCCTCTCCTAGGCTGGCCCTTTGCCCCCGTGGGGGACTCACCCAGCATCTGCCCCAAGTGTTCTCCTCCCTTATCAGAGAACTCGTTGTGGCTGAGATCCAGTGTCTTAATTCGGTAATTGGCCTGGAGAGAGAAACGGTGCAGAGAGAGGTGATTTTTGTCCTTTATGTGACCGCAAATACCTCTCTTATCTCAGGGCGGTGTGATGGAGGGCTCCCACACACCAAAAATCGGGTGGACTAGAGTTTTTAGACTGAAGATGACTTCTTGTGCATTTTTTTGTTTAACTGTCTGTGACTGCTAGGAGGGTCTAGTCCCATCCAAACAGCCCTCCCTCTGCTGCGCTTTGGTCAGGATCGGCAGAGTTCAGCCACTCACCAGCTCCCTAAACATTCAAGTGACCTCACTTCTCTATACACCCTCCAGATCCCCCACATCTCCCAGGGCCATCCCCCACAGGGCTGGGTTGCCCCCGCCCCCTTGTTACTTACCGAGAAGGCTTGGCAGAACAGCTCTGCGGATTCGTCCTTGAAGTTATTTCCTGTAGTGAAGGTGGGTGTTTGCAATGCTGTCCAGACTAGGGCTCCCTCACCCTCCTGCATTCTAGCCCTGCCAGTCTCTCCCCTTTGCAACCATCAGCCACAGGAAAGGTGGCAAGTGCTTAAAGCAAATATATGGACACGGAAGAAAACAAGAGAAAAGAGGGCAACTATTTGCCATCCCCTTTAACATCCCTTCCTTTCTCTGCCATGATAGCTCGGGGAGTTCCAGAAGTCAGTACAGCATGCCCTGTGCCCCCACTGGTAGCATCAACCCCTAGCTTAGCGCCTAAATTCTGTAACATTATTAAAAATACGAATCCAGCGGCAGGGCCATGACCAGAGAGGCACAAGTGAGGCACTCCCTCTGTGTGCAAAATCGAAGCTTCGTAACCACAGGGAGTAACGTCTTAATATTTGTAGAAGTCAAAACTAATGCAAGACATTTATGATGAACAAAATTGTATTTTTTTAATGTTCACTTATTTATCTTGAGAGAGAGTGTGTGTGTGACCAGGGGAGGGGCATAGAGAAAGGGAGAGAAAGAATCCCACGCAGGCTCTGAGCTACCAGCACAGAGACCGCCAACGTGGGGGCTCAAAGCCACTAACCGTGAGATCATGACCTGAGGTGAAATCAAGAGTCAGATGCTTAACTGACTGAGCCACCCAGGCGCCCCTCAAAATTTTTAAATTTTAAATAAAGGCAGGATCTGACCCTGTACTTGAATGGTTAGGCCTCACTCACCTCACCAATAACCTGTCCCTGTTGGATCCTATTTTATATTTAAAGTGTGGATATTTTGTTCACCACGGGCATTTTTCGCATTATTTTTGACTTTGACAAATATTGCAACAGGATATCATTTACTTAGTTACTGACTTTTTTGAGCCCCTTGAGTTCTGTGATCGAGGTGTGTGCCTTCCTCATCTTACTCTCACCCCAGCCCTGCTGAATAGTTTAAAAGATTTCTGGAAAATATATGCGATTTCTGGGAAATAAATGATATAGAGACTTATCCCCAAATTTCTTCTTTAAACCCTTAATAATCTTTGTATCTCTAGCACCTAAATAGTGCCTGGCACATGATAGGTGCTCAGTAAATGTTTCCTGAATGAATGAATGAGTCCACCTAGACACAAATGCTTCTTGGTTGCGTTTGTACCCGTGCAATAAAACGAGACGATAAGCTAGTCAATGTGTAAAATTAGGTTATTAGCTATTCAAATTGTTGTGTCTACATCAGTGGTTACAAATAGTACGGAGCTGGCAGTAACAGAGTCATTTGGGAAGTCTGATAAAATACAGATTCTCAAGCCCCCCTTTTAAGATTCTGATTCAGCAGTCTGGGATAGGGCTGGGTAATTTGTATTTTTACAGAGCTTTCTGTATTATTTAATGTTATACTAGAGGTGTTAGCCAATGCGACTAGAAAAATCATTAGGAGCTGCGGCTATTGGAAAGAAGAGACAAAACTCCCATAATTTACAGACATGATCGCCTGCCTAAATAATCCAAGAAAATTAACTGACAGAATGTTAGAACTAATAAGATAATTCAATAAAGTCACTGGACATAGGATCAATGTACAGAGATTAATAGCTGCCAGACATATCAGTAATAACCACTTAGAATATATGATAGAAAAAACATTCTGTTCACACAGGAATAAAATGATAAAACACCTGGGCCTGATACGAAATGTGCAGGATTTCTAATGGAATAAAAGCATAGGACTTTATTGAGGAAGATAAAAAAAGACTTGAAGAAACAGAGGTAAACCCAGTGCTTGAGATTTGGACCCAAGCGCTGACCTCAACATCCACACATTTAATCATTCTGATTCACAGATGACTTGCTGAGAGCCAAAATGGACGTAGTACAGGGAAACAGAAAACAGTTCATTGTAGAACTGTAACCTGGTACCATCTTCTTTTTTTTTTTTTTCAAATGTTTATTTATTTTGAGAAAAAGGGTGAGCGGGGGAGGGGCAGAGAGAGAGAGAGAGAAAGGGAGAGAGTCTCCCAAGCAGGCTCCTGGCTATCAGCACAGAGCCTCATGCAGGGCTCCATCCCACGAAACACGAGATCATGACCTGAGCCGAAATCGAGAGTCAGATGCGTAACTGACTGAGCCACCCAGGCACCCCTAGGCCGTTTTTAAAAGTTATCTCTACACCCAACGTGGGGCTCAAACTCACAACCCTGAGATCAAGAGTCACACACTCTACTGACTAAGGCAGCTAGGCGCCCCTGGCACGGTCTTCTTGAGGGGAGATTTGGAAATTCTTTTTCAACTTCAGAAAAATAGGTGTATCTTTTTATATTCCGTAATTTTGCTCTTGGGTGTCTATCTAGAAATACTAGAACATATGTCCAAAAGTTGCATGTGCAGGAAAGTTCTTTAAAAATTATTTGAAAGATTGAAAAACTGGAAATGTGCCCCTTCCATACACACACAAATGGAGAGAGGTTAGATAAACTATGCTATATCCATCCCATGGAATACTATCCAGCTGTTCCAGAGAATGAGATAAATCTATTTGCTATGTCATAGAAATAGAAGATATATTTAGAGTGAAAAAGAGGAAATTGGAGAAGAGAACCTGATATGTCATAACATTTATATTAAAAATTACACAAACTCTATTTTTGCATTTTCTCTCTGGATACTTTTAAGATCTTTTTATTTTAGATGTTTTTTCTATAATATATTCAGGGGTGGATTTCTTTTTATTTACCTTATGAAGGACTCACTAGGATTCCTGCATCTGAGAATTCAGCAATTCAGGACATGTCAGCTATTGTTTGCTTAGATATCACTGCTCATCCATTCTCTTCTTCTGGAACTCCAATGAGCTCTGTTGGGTCTCTCTCTCTCTCTCTCTCTATATATATATATATATATATAGAGAGAGAGAGAGAGAGATGTCTATATATATCTATATATAGATATAGATAGATTATTTTTAAGTAATCTCTGCATCCAATGTGGGGCTCAAAGTCACCACCCCAAGATCAAGAGTCACATGGTCTACCATCTGAGCTAGCCAGAAGTCCCTCATCCTTTTATATATTTTTTTATCTTTTATGTCCTCTATATCTTAAAAAAAATTTTTTTTAACGTTTATTTATTTTTGAGAGAGACAAGAGACAGAATGCGAGTGGGTTAGGGGCAGAGAGAGGGGGGACACAGAATCCGAAGCAGGCTCCAGGCTCTGAGCTGTCAGCACAGAGCCCGACTCAGGGCTTGAACTCACGAGCTGAGAGATCATGACCTGAGCCGAAGGCACTTAACCGACTGAGCCACCCAGGCACCCCCTATCTTTATCTTTCTGTGCTGCAAAAGATTTTCAAGGTCATTAATTTTATTCACCTGATTCTAATTTGCTGTTAAACGTATCCACTGAGTCTCTAGTTTGAAGGATTATATACTTTCCATTTCCAGAAATTCTATTTTGGGGAGGTCTTTTAAAAAATAGCGTTTTGTTCTTGTGTGTTTTTATTTTTATGTTCTTAATCATATTAAACATAGTTTACCGTTGGGGTCAAGATATCTGTTTGCTTGCAGTTTTAGTTAATTAATAGTGCTTCTATGCAGTTGGAAGATAAATTATATGGTCACCAAATGTACAGTTTATTTCTGATAATTCTATTTTCTGTAGTCCTTGAGGGTCTGATGCTGCTGCTTGTTAGAATCTGACTGCTCTCATGGTGTTTTGTGTCCTTGTTTTGCAATTTTGGACTCTGAGCCCATCTTCATTGGAGCTTTATCCGTGGGAATCCCAAGCAGCCTGCAGCCTGGGTCAAGGGTCATTCTTCCAATGAGGTTTTCTGTTTGTGTCTGTTGCATGCCCCAGGGTATTACCAGTATAGGATGACTTAGGTTAATGTCTTAGGGGTTCCAGGACCCTGAAGACAGTATAAACTCAAACCACAAACCTGGGTTCTCAAGTGACTTTTTTTTTTCTGTGAGAGAGACAGATAACAGACTAATTAAAAAGTGAGCGTACAATAAGGGGCCAGGGGGCAATAAATGCTGTTAAGAAAAAACAAGTAACGGAAACAGGATAGCGATGGTGATGGAGGGGAGGGGAGGGAAGCCCCCCTCAGGAGATGACATTTGAGCAGGAGCACGGCTAAAGCAACAGAGTGAGCCATGCAGTTATCTGGGGTAGAGACTTTCAAGCAGAGGCAGGCATGCTGCTGAGTGAATCAGAAGTTTCTTGTTTGGGAAAGCCAGCAAGCCAGTGTGGCCATGGGGAGGGGGAAAGGATGACTGGAAGGGTTTAGCGGGTGTGGACACAGTTTTCTGATCTCAGAACTCGGAGGGGCCTGGTCTGGCTCACTTAGACCCTGGATTCTCCCTGCCCTTCCCCTTCTCTTCTTTTCATCCCCTTGTCCCTCTCCCACCTCTTCCATGGGCTCACCTGAAAGCTGGAGGTTCAAGAGCGAAGAGGTATTTCTCTGAAGAAATTCTGAGATGGTGCTGGCCCCCTTCAAGCCAAGATCATTGTTGGAAACATTCTAAAAGGCAAGAACACATTCCTGTGTGTAAAAATCCCACCCAAGGGCCCTTACTAACGAATGGTGCCAATGTGAGCCCTACTTGAGGCCTGCACCAGGGAGTAGGGCTGGGTGGGGAGAGGGGCAGGAGAGGAGGGGCAGGATGGATTGGGAAGAGTAAAGGAGCAGAGGACCATGGGAACTCAGCCCTCCTAATGCCTGGCTGGGGGGCCCCTCCCACTGGTCTCAGTTTTTCTGAAGTTGGCTTTGGTGGCTCCCCACCTCTCCAGTTCAGCTCTAGCACTTTAGATAAGCACACTGTACATTTCTTTTTTGAAATCCAAGAGAGCTTTGTTTAGACAGTTTGGCGTAAAGCAATTGAAAAATTAGCTTCGAGTAATTCATCGTTATAAGTTCCATTCATTGATTGGTGAAGCATGAATGAATCTGCTGGGGACACGCAGGGATACAAATGGACACATTCCTTTCAGGCGAGTGGGAGGGACGTTCATATAAACCAGCCATTATTATCATAATTGTTTCTCCCTCTCTTTTTCCCTTTTTTTTTTTTTTTTTTTTTTTTTTTTTTTTTTTGTGGTAAAAATAGACATAACACAACATTTACCATCTTAGCCGTTTTTAAGGGTATAGCTCCGTGGTCTCAAGTGTATTCACCTGGTTTGCAACTATCACCATCATCTATCTCCAGGCACATTGTGTTTGATGAGAGTATTTCGTGTCTTTATTTTAGGTTCACTTTAGAGTGACTCTGTAGAAATAAGGGCTTATAAGGTGCAGACAGAATTGGTTTCTTAGGGTTCCTGGGACCACAGGGAACACAGCTCCCCTCCCAACCCTCCCCGCGGCCAGCCTCGGATGTGTGGCCCTCCTCTGAGGAGTCACATCTGGAGGAGAGGGCCTCCAGGCTGCAGAAAGCCAGAGGCTGGCCAGGGCTTGGGCAGGGGCCTCTGGCCCGTGTCGGGTGTGTTCCGAGAGCCCAGGTGGTAGGGATCGGCAGAGCAGAGCACAGTACCAAGTCTTGCAGGTAGTAGTTCTCTTGCAGCATCTGCACCAGGCTCAAGGTGCCCTCCTCCATGATACAGTTGTCTGCCAGCTCCAGGGTGACAACACTCGTGTTGGACTTCAGCCGCCACAAGAGGAGGGGGAGAAAGACAGAGGTAGTCGGCGACCTAGTCAGTTCCCTGCCCTTTCCCAGAACCCGTCCTCTCTCTTGACCATCCCAGCCTTTTCAGAGGGTACGGAGAGGCAGGCTAGCAATTCTGGATAAAGCACAGGGATGATCCATCCCGCCGAGTTTTGCTAGCACAATATGCTTATTCTGGGCACCTCCACCAAAGGGGGTTCTGCAGGGGAATTTCGAAAGGGGACATTAAAACGATGAAATCCTGGGGCGCCCGGGTGGCTCAGTCAGTCAAGCCTCCAACTTCAGCTCAGGTCATGATCTCAGCGTTCATGAGTTTGAGCCCCACATTGGGCTCTGGGCTGACAGTGTGGAGCCTGGAGGCTGCTTCGGATTCTGTGTCTCCCTCTCTCTCTGCCCCTCCCCCGCTGGTACTCTGTCTCTCTCTCAAAGATAATAAAGATTTAAAAAAATTTTTTAAGTAAAAAAACCAATGAAATCCCTAAAAAGCGTGGGGCACAGGGATGAGCTAAACAGACTGTAGCTCTTTCTCAGGGAGGAGAGAAGCTGTGACCTACTCTGACATTAAGGAGAAGTTGATGCCTTTAATAAAGGTATTTAAACATAAGGCATTTACTGTGCCTGTTTCTTTCACAGGTCATCTAGTTTAGGCTCTGGCTTATCTGGTACTTTCAGTCAGGACGTTGTCCCAAGGCTGTTTGGAAGGACCTGGATTTCAGTCTTAAGTATCCATATCCAAGCTAGTCAGCACTCCCACAGGCAGCAAGGTGATAGGAAGCGACGTGCAGCATGAGGGCCCGGGGTCAGCTCTAGTCAGGACTGTTATTCTTCCCTTCCCCACCTCAGTTCCGGTGCAGAAAGGTATGAAGAATAGACACATCTTTGGATTTGGGTATTCTCAAAGTGCACCAAGCAGCGGGAGAGGCAGCCACCGGGAAGGAGTCCTAGCCCCCCCGCAAAGGGCAAATGTGACAGCTCGGATAACACAGTGCCTAACAGTCCACCCAGGGCCTTCACCAAGTGCCTTCTGGCCTCAGCTCTCCGAGGTGGGCAAAATTCCATTGTGTGCAGAGGCAAGGGTCAAGGCTCAGGGGGCCAGGTGTCAGTTAGTGCCCAGCATCGGGGGGCCGGACGACCAGCTGCATAGTCACCCTGGGGACTAGCGCAGTGTGTGGGGCAGCGGGCAGAGCCCGCACCAGGCCTGTCCACATTCACGTCACACGGGCCAGTGGCCGCTGGTTACTCTTTGTGCCAGTTTCTGGAGAAACAAGGATGAGCAGAGGACATCCCTGCACCCCGTCAAGCACGAGGGCGTCGAGGCAGGCAGGTGAGAGATGGACGGGAAGCATGCGATATGAGCACTACCATCAGCGTGCTTTTAAGCCAAGCCAGGGAAACACAACACGTGCAAAGTTAAACAGTACAAAAAGATAAATAGCAGTTCAGTCCCCCAGCATGTCACAGTGATTAATTGTCAAATTAGTGACACAGAGAATCAGGGAAAAAGAAACTCCCCCCAAACAGAAACTGTTGTCACTAAGAGGCAAGCAGCCCAAGTCCCGAGAGAATTGCATTATCCGTTTTTTTTTTCATGAAACTCATGCCGTAATGGTGCATTCCTAACACCTCATTAATCAGTCTTTCAACACTCAATAAATTTCAAGATGCCTTTGTTCTTTCTGTGCTCTTCCCCTCTTTCCTCCCTCCTCCAGAAAGCAGCACAATCTCACATTTCATGTGGACTCTTAATGGGCATGTGCCAAATGCAAATGCTATGATATTTCCCAAAATGAATGAGTGCTTTTTTTTTTTTTAAATCAAACTTTCTCTTTACCGTCCTAAATGAACAAACAGTGTTGTGCTGACATACAGTTGTTACATGATCTGTTTTTCTGGGATGGAAGCTGGTTTGTATATAATCAATTATAATTATATAAGGCTATGATGAATTCAAGGTCAAGTCCTTGGTTGCTCATGCCAGGCTGAGAGAGAGAGAGAGAGAGAGAGAGAGGACATTATTTCTATGGGAAAACATGAATTATTCTACAGTGTGATCTTTTAAGAATTGCAACATTGCAAAATGGGGCGCCTGGGTGGCTCAGTCGGTTAGGCGTCCGACTTCAGCTCAGGTCATGATCTCGCGGTCCGTGAGTTCGAGCCCCGCGTCGGGCTCTGGGCTGATGGCTCAGAGCCTGGAGCCTGCTTCCGATTCTGTGTCTCCCTCTCTCTCTGACCCTCCCCTGTTCATGCTCTGTCTCTCTCTGTCTCAAAAATAAATAAACATTAAACAAACAAACAAAAAAAGAAAGTGGCTGCACTATTTAAAAAAAAAAAAAAAGAATTGCAACATTGCAAAAGGCAAACTTTGAATAGAACAGCTCAGTAGTGAACACCTTTATAGCAAAGGTGAGCTTTGGAATTGAGATCCAGGCTGGCATTTTGTATCATGCACCAGCATTAGTGACAAGCCGAGCCACTTACCTGTGGCTGCTGCCTTTACTTCCTGAATCAGAAAGAGCATAGACTTCCAAAGCCAAGGTCCCTAGCAGCCCCCTTCCCAGGAGCCAGTGGGGGCATCCATGCCTATTACGTAAATCGACTGGCAGTCAAGCAGAGCCTAGGGCAGGGCGGGCATAAAGCTTGCAATTTAGGATCCCATGGGGGGTCTCTCTGAGTCTTGAGCCCACTACTCTGTCAACCCCCACCTCTACCCATCATCAAGGGCCCCCATTAGCATGCTCACCACCAGGGCTATGGCAATAGCCTTGGTACCACTGGGTCCCAGCCCATGGTGGTTGAGGTTCACGTAGGACTCCTCCATGTTCCGGATAAAGTAGGAGACGGGCACTACACCCACCAGTTTGCAGGCCTCCAGGTACAGCTCCCTTTGTCCGGTGGTGAAAAGTTTCTCCGTATCTACACAAAAAAATGGAGAAAGTGGGGTTTTTCTTCCACCTTTGCCTCATTTCTCCTCTAACCCTGGGCCGAGTGCGCTTCTGCCCGGTGTCCCCTCTGCCTGAGGATGTCCCTGTGGGTGTGTGTGGTGGAGGGCAGCTCTAATCGGAAGACGGCCAGAGGCGGGAGAGGGAGACCCAAACTCCAGAAAGCCCCAAATCTCCCTCTGAGTAAGAGATAAGGCCCCTGGTTTTAGGCCCCAAGCCTTCCCAGGAGAGGGAGCGGCGTGCCCACACCTTCCCGTGTTGCCCACATCCAGGACTGATTATCAAGGATGCATAAAGGCCAGCTCTCTTGTCCACCTTGGGATGGCTCTGAAAGGCCAAACCAAAAGCTGATTTGTGACGGCTGAAGGAACCTCTATTTGTTTCAGTTTCACTACCACTACTGAACTGAGAGCCACAAATAAAGCCTTACTAAAGATTTAGAGAGGTTCCAACTTTCAAAACCCCAAGTGGGACTGAGTGGGTTTCTCAAGGTGGCAAATCACTGCAAGATGGAGAGACCTCCCCAAATCACGTGGAAACAAACAAACTTGTATTTGAATTGATACTCCTCTTTCAAAGACTTGTATGTCATTTTTCCTGACAAAAAGGACTATTGTGTCTACTTTGCCAGTGACAAATCTAGCCGCAAATCACACACAGCTCATCGGTGCTAACACCAGCTACCACAATTGGGGACTTTATCTCTCCGTTCCAAGCTCTTGGGGCCTTTGTTCCTTGGACTTTAGATGGGCCTGGCTCGTGGTCAATGGCCCTCCCTGGATTCCATATGCCCTCACAGCCGTGTCCTCATTAAGTGGGTCCCTTCAACAGCTGGGCCTCCCGTGGCTAGCTGGGGTCTAAGCGTGCATCTGTGATCCCTTTGGATGCCAGGGCCTTTAGCCAACCCACCTCGGACATTTTACAAGGCAGACAACGTGAGCTTTGTTGGTGAACAGACAACTTTACGAGGAGGCTCACTCTGCAGGCACAGCTTCTAACTGGCCTTCTCTTTGGGATGGTTGTAGGGTAGGCTCTCTCAAGCTCGGCGCTGCTGACATTTTGAGTTGGGTCATTCTCTGTCGCAAGGGGCTGTCTTGAGCGGTGAAAGATATTTAGCAGGATTCCTGGCCTCTGCCAGTGAGATGCCAGTAGCATCC